TGGTTGACCACTTATCACATTTCTTTTACTTTCATGTTCCAAGCGGGGGTATACATCCCTGCCAACAATTCTTGTGACAGACCCATCTGTCTGGATTACAAATGCTTTGTTCGCCTGTTTTGCCGGTTGCATGAATTTCCCCATTCGTATGCTTTATTCAAGGGAATGTCGGTTTTTGTCGAAGGAAACTACCGAACGGACGGCCACCCAGAAGAGAAGTGTGCTGCTGGTTAACCTATTGATCCCAATTAGAACATTGCGGTTAACCACAGACACTTCTCAATTAAAACCGAATGCCGGGTGTTCGTCGTTCGTATGTCGACCACGAGGCGGCTGCCATTTTATCCATGCGAAAGACCAGCGGTTTTCGACGATTATTTCATGGATCTGAAAACAGACACTTTTTCAGCCGAACACCGCTGAAGCCGTCGACCTCCCCTTCTCAATCGACAAAAGTATACGAATGCCAGCCGTTCGGGAGATTCAACCACACGAATGGACTTAACCCAGATAGCCGCCCCATGGAGTCAATCGCATACCGAAGAACTGAAATAGACTTTGACTCCATGGCGATTGAACTGTGCGAATGGGATCTGAGCGCTATTCGCCAATAATATGCACTCAGATCCAGGCTATCTGGGGATATGTAATACGAATGCAATATGTTCGGCAGTTATGAAGTTATAGATTTTCATGTGTTTTTGTGACTTGTATTTAAAATGGCGATTGCCTCTGCTCGGGGAGATAATTGAATTACTTCACAATTATCCCCCGAGCAGAGGGGAGGGAACTGTGATGCATGCTGGGAATATTGTGGGGATGTGTGTCTAAAATGTCCCCATGTCTTTCTGTAATTTCAGTCTCCCATTTGGTCCCCTAGGGGAGTGTCCACCAGGTGGGAGACCTGCATAAATACCGGGCAGGTAGCCCACAGTAAATCCGTTCGTGTTTTACCCTCAAAGGAGAGCTTGGTCTCGTTATTGGGGGGATTTGGTTACCAGCGACTAGAGACTACTTATTTGGATTATTTGCCGCTTGGGAGATATTGACGTTCGGTTACTATTTGCCGTTCGTGGATTTGAAGCTCATGAAGGGAATTAGCCGTACAGGTACCGTTCGGGAGTTTGGAGTGTTCCCTGGCTGGTGGTTCGCATGGTTTTATTATACCCGCTACCAGACCACATTATTGCGAACGGGGAATACTCGCTAAACGGCGGTTTGTACATTTTATTACTGGAGGTACCGTAACAATTCTCATTTATATTCCAGGCATGTTCATCATACGCTTCTTACAGCCGCCCGTACAGTCACGGCCACTCTTTTGTTCCAGAGACAAAATCATGGATTAGACATACTCATGCAGCATAGCATGCACTATCTCACCTAGCAATTTCATCCGATACTTGTAGAACGTATAACACAGCTTTTCACCTGGCTAAAGAATCTCATTGTAACACGACATAGCTCAACCTGTGTCATAACATTTCTCCTAGGTTTTGCTCCTTTTTGCCACCTTAAACTAAAACTATCTCACACACCATTAATTATATATTTTACAGGCATTCAACAACACAGGATAACCTATGGCCAAAACTACCATAACTTTATGCTATCATACCAGACAAGAATATACTCAGAGGTTTTCAGGAATCCATTCCCCCACATTCCTCTCAGAGATTACCAATAGCCATCCAACTTTGGCTGGTAATGGCCGACTTGGTAGTAGAATTGAATGGTTGTAGATCTAATAGGTCCTATTAGATCTACAACCATTCAATTCTACTACCAAGTCGGCCATTACCAGCCATACACACTGCCTTCTATGCCTTTCTCAGGCCAGGAAATCGACTACCATCACCACCACTCAGACAGATCATTGTCTTCAATGATCCCACGCACGTAAACACATATATCATTACCTATTGGCTCCACCACATTCCGAAACGAGTCAACATGCACCAACAGTAGAGATAACATACTATCCTACCCACAACAAATGGTGTCCAGTTGCGGTCCAAGATTCCTACCTTGAAAATCCTTCCAGGAATTAAATACCGTAATGCATTTAAGGAAATGTCTGGTTAATTTGTATATATGTGTTGACTGTATTAAATCTTTGATTATTTATTTTCGCCCTCTTTATTTACAGGCCTACCGTATTGTCGGTCTCGGCACACCACAACCGACTTGCTCCCTTTATACTATCCTACGCTTATACTGGAACCTTACTCCATATACAACTATTTGCTCCTTACACAAATTTATGTATTTTTTTTTATGGTCTTGCTCAATCACCATGTCTAACGGACCGTTAAGCACACACGAGGTTAAAAAACGTTTAGGTGAAATTCCCCTTTTAGATGCACAGGCAGCTACTGCAATCACCAATCTCTCGAAACTCAAACACACGAAT